GAGGGAGGGAGGGAGGAAGGGAGGAAGGGAGGCTTGGAAGTCCCAATCATTCACACAAGATAAAGACATCTTCTGATAGCAGCACTGAAGCAGCCGGTGTGCCGACCAGACCGTCCTGGCTGGCTGCTGACCGACTGTATCCCAACAGGAGTCTCAAAGCCCTGCTCCTCGCTGATCCATCCGGGAATCCGGGTAGGAGTTTGATTGTTGTTGTTCATCCTGGTCTTGGCAGGTATGTTAAATACTGCAACATTAACGAGTCCTGTGTGAAGACACAGCCAACAGTCCTTAGCCCCTTTCCTTGTACTTTTTACTTGCTTTAAGAAAAAAAGCATGTTTATGTGGCTGTCAATGACAAAGGCTTGGAATCCTGTGCAGAGGGACCGTGATGAGGAGTGAGCAATGGCCGAGGCAATGCCATGCTTTCCCGTGACCTGTGGAACAGCAGAGCACGCAGGGTGTGGCACAGTGGTGTACCTACAAGAAGTGGGTACTGGAGGGAAGCTGGTGGGGCTCAGCCTGAGGAATTGTGTACAGGGACACTGACAGTGCTCCTGGGCCCTCTGAAGGTGTAGGCTAGAAATGTAGCATGGAAATAGAAGCTCTGAGTCATGTGTGTAGAAGTGAGAGCTAGTGTCATGGAAACAGAGAAGACAGCCTAAGAAGAGAGCTCAGACGATTCAAATGAGACCCAGCCAGGCTCTCAGGGCATGGCTGCTTCAGCAGCCCTGAGAAGGGGAGACAGACGTAAACAAAGTTAGGAAGAATAGTAACAGTGAGGGTCAGGGGCACATTTCTGTGGTTAAATAGGTGTTTAGCATGAGCCAGGCCAGGTACTCAATACCCAAGGGCCCTCCAGCCCAACAGCAAATGTTCTTACATTGGAAAAACCCAAACACTGGCAAAAAGAGCAGACGTGTACACGGTGGTTATGGAAGCATGAGCCGTGGGTGCCTTACAAAGGGCTTCTGACGAGTGATGGACTGAGAACTCTGCACATTGTCTTCCTGCAGACCTGTGAGTCAGTCCTGCACTCATTTCCCTCATCAGGGTATGACAGCCTGTGAATTTACAAGCCCACAGGCACACAGGCAGTGTGACTTAAGCTGAGGAGTGATGAACAACTGTGTCTTCTCTGATAGCAGAGAAACTGAGGGAGCCCCCAGAGGCAGATCACTTCCTCAGGAAGACTGACAGGTGCAGGAATGGAGTGAGAGGCACATCTGTGGTAACCACCAAGGCGAGCATGGGAAACAGGAAGTGATGTGGAGGCAATGCTCCCTAGAGGCTGGTGCTAAGTACCTAAAGCCAATAACCCAACACTAACTGGTGACAGCAGCGGACACCAACTGCAAACATGCACACAGAATATGTGGGCACTTTAGGTTCTGCCCTGCCATTGAGAGGCGCTAGAGATGTAGGAAGGATACCAACTTCCTGTTAGCTACTGGGGCCGGACAAACAAACCAGGTATTCTCCTGAAGGAGCAGAGAGAGCAGAGACAGGACGCTACCTTCTGTTCCCATTTAGACCGGCAAGGCAGAGCTGTGTGACGTCAGGGGCGCAATGCACCTAGAGCCGTATCCAGTCATACGTTAAGAGTTAGACTGGAAGGGGCTCCCTTGTAGGTACTTGATCTAAGAACTATAAATGACAGGATTGGGTTCACTAGTTTTCAAACTGGTTCAAAATTTTTACTTTCATAAAAATTGTACTGAAGGAACTATTACATTAGTACTACATGAGAAGAATCCTCCAGAACTAGAGCTGGCTACCTTGGGGAAAGTAGTGCTCACTGGGGCAGCCCCTGTCTTATCTCATGCTGTCAACTCTGCTTTCCTGTTGTACAGGGATGGGTGAGACAAAGGGTCTGAGAATGACAATGCTCCAGGAGTGAGCGGCACCCACGGCCAATACTCCATCCTCTAGCACAGTGCCGCATGCACACTTCTTCTCATACCTGGGCAATTATGAGGCCAGTGTCGGGCTATTTATCTGGAGATGTAGGTGTATGTCCGAGAAGGGGAGCGAGGCGGTTCAGCATGAGCAGCTGGATCATTTAGGAAGTCCCAGATGAGAATTGTGTCATCATGTGAACTACTGACAATCTGGAATTCATCAAACTGGAGTCGAAAAACTCTTCCAGAATGCTCCTAAAGAGGCAGAGACAAAAAGGGTAAGACTTTGAACTCAAAATCAAAAGCCTCTTTGTCTGAAGGAGCCTATAGGGAGGCTCAGGCGTGTTCTTCCACTGTCTCAAGCAGACAGGAGGCAGTTCACTATCGTTAGCATGCAAAACTCAAATACTGGGCAACAACTCATCTCAGGAACACAGGAAACAGTGCTTACTACTGAGGCAAAATGGCAGTGAGGATCCTGGCTTGCCACTGCCTACTGGGCTAGAGGAGAGTGCTCCTTGCTATCTCCCTGCAAGTTCCTTTGATTGATCATCAGAAGTCAAGGGGTGACCAATAGTAAGAAGTGACACGCTGGCAAACTCATCTAACCAACTTTCTTGGGTCTAGAGAGATGGCTCAGTAGCTAAGAGCATGGGCTGGAGACCCCAGGTTCGATTCCCAGCACCCACGTGATACCTTACTGCCATCTGTAACTACACTTCCAGGAGGATTTGACCTCCTCTGTCCTCTGAGGGCACTGCACTGCACAAATATACATTCAGGCAAAACATCCATGGACATAAAATAAAAACAAATCTTAGGAGAAAAATAAACTTCCTTAGTTTGAAGAACCATTTATATTTTCATGATGCACAAAGTCCTACCATGACCAATCTGAAGCTATCATATAAATGGTCAATGACTTGCAAACTTCTTTTTTTGTTGTTGTTGTTGTTGGGTTTTTTGCTTTTCTTGGGTTTCTTTATGTAACAGCTCTAGCTATTCTGGAACTTGCTTTGTAGACTATACTGGTCTCAAACTCAGAGATATGCCTACATCGGCCTCCTGAGTGCCAGGATCAAAGACATGCGCCACCATGCTTGTCAACTTGGAAAATTCTATTGGTTGGCTTTCATGAGATCAGGGGCCTAGTTTAGTACATGAGGTTACGGAGTAAACACTGCCTAAATCAGGTGCCGACTACATCTAACTTCCTGGAAAGGACTTTCAGCACTGCTGCTAGTCAGTCTCTATTGCACTTCAATTGTTGTCACTGATTTTTACCCACCCTCAAATTCATATGAACACACACATGTAGTATATGTTTGTGCCTAGCTTACTTTTTAAAGATTTATTTATTTTATGTTATTATTTATTTTATGTATATGAGTATACTGTAGCTGTCACCAGATCCCATCACAGATGGTTGTGAGCCACCATGTGGTTGCCGGGAATTGAACTCAGGACCTCTGGAGGAGCAGCCAGTGCTCTAAACCACTGAGCCATCGCTCCAGCTCCATGCCTAGCTTATTTTACTCAAACATTAGAATCTTTCTCTCTCTTTCTCTCTCTCTCTCTCTCTCTCTCTCTCTCTCTCTCTCTCTCTTTCTTTTTTGTTACAAGTAAAAACAGTTAGCAGGGTGGTGGTGGTGCACACCTTTAATCCCAGCACTTGGGAGGCAGAGGCAGGCGGACTTCTGAGTTCGAGGCCAGCCTGGTCTACAGAGTGAGTTCCAGGACAGCCAGGGCTACACAGAGAAACCCTGTCTCGAAAAACAAAAACAAAAAACAAACAAGTAAAAACAGTTATTTTATCCCTTAAAAGATTAGTGGCTAATATCCCATTGTATGAATATACTACAGATAGTCTACCTTCCTGTTGATGGATAGACAGCCTGTTCTTTTTTGTTGTTGTTACAAACAAAACTTCCTTCTTTCATTTGGGAGACAGAGGAAGGCAGGACTCTGTGAGTTTGAGGCCAGTCTGGTTTACATAGGGAGTTCTGGGACAGGTAAAACTGCAAAAACACCCTCTTTCAAAAACACCAAAGAACAAAAGAAAACAAAAAAAATAACAACAGAGCTGCCAGGAACGTATACACTTATGATTAGGAAACCTAATCATATGCCTAGGAAACTGAGGTAGAAGGATCACCAGTTCCAGGGCAGCCGAACTACATTTCGAGATTCTGCCTCTACCCTATAAACATTTTAAACATTTATTATTGTATGTGTTTTGCTTACATGTTAATTTGCGTACCACCTGTCTATCCAGTGCTCACAGAGGCTAAGAAGGTGTCAGATCCCCTGGTTCTCCTCTGCCCCAACAATTACAGCTAGTTGTAAGCTGCTGCAAGAACAGCTATTGCTCAAAACTGCTGAACCATCGTTCCAGCCTGCATGGTTCTGATGGAAATACACACTCACTTCCTGAGAAGCAGAACTGTGTGACCACGGAAGAGGGGTATTCCTGGCCTTGTTAGATTCTTCAAAGAAGGGCTTTCAAAGCTGGGCCACTTGACAGAGTTCAGATGCTTTCCCCATCAGTGACACTACAATCTTTTAAACCCTAGCTTAATCTTCCAAGTGATATTTAATTGTTTAAATTTATGTTTTCTTTATGAAGTTCCCTTCTTGTCCTAGCTTGCTCAGTTTTACCATAGGTGGACACTGGATTTTGACGAATGATTTTTAAAAAAATTTGCTTCATGCGTATGGGTGTTTTGTCTGTATCATGTGTTGCCTGGTACCTGGAGAGGCCCGAAAAGAAGAATGTTAAATCCTCTGGAAATAGAGTTACAGAGAGTTGTGAGCTGTCGTGTGGGTGCTAGGAATTGAACCCAGGTCCTTTGAAGAGTAGACAGTGCTCTTTAGCCACTAAACTATCGCTAGCACTTTGCCAAATGCTTTTACTGATCCGTTGCTACTGAAATCATGTGGCTTACCTGGTGGTAAGATGGAAGACATGAACTGAACACTGGGTCATGTTGAGCACTTGCCTACTTGTAAAATGCCCCAGCTTTAAGCCCCAGCACCGTAAGAACACACCAGTTTTCAAGTGCTCAACCAGTCTTCTACCCTGTACCTGTAACCTCCAATCTGAGCTGCAGTATAACTTTTCTTATATATTATTGGAATCAATTTGTTCATATTTTGTGGATTTTTTTTTAACGTATGAATTCTTTCAAGGCTGCTAAGAACATTTCTGTAGTGTTTATAAAGCTTTGGATTTAATCCCTAGCATCACAATTTTAAAAAGAGAGATTCTGAATCCATTTGGTAAGCATGTAACCTGTAAGCCCAGCACTTGGATGATGAGGGCAGAGGGATTAGGAATTAAAGGTCAACCTCAGTTACACAGTAAGCTTGAGTTCAGGCTCAACACGAGCGAGGAACAATAGGTTGGGAAGAGGGTAGAGGATTAGAACACTTGCCATGAAGCTCTGGTAACTTGACATCCATCTCTAGAACCCACAGAGGCAGATAACCGACTCTACAGAGTTGGCCTCTGATCTCCATAGCATGTGCACCTCCCCCAGTAACATTCAATTTAAAAAGGCATCAGTATTGTAAGATTCAAAACTTCGGTGAAGCCGGGCAGTGGTGGCGCATGCCTTTAATCTCAGCACTTGGGAGGCAGAGGCAGGCGGATTTCTGAGTTCGAGGCCAGCCTGGTCTACAGAGTGAGTTCCAGGACAGCCAGGACTACACAGAGAAACCTTGTCTCAAAAAACCAAAAACAAACAAACAAACAAACTTCGGTGAGACACTTGGGGAGTGTACAGGAGGCACAGGGATTCCACCCCGAGCCCTGAAGAAAAAAAAAAGTCAAATAAAATTTTGGAGGGTTTTTGAGATTAGGTTTCTCTGTGTAGCCTTGGCTGACCATGAACTCACTCTGTAGACCAGGCTGTCCTCAAACTCAAGAGATCCGCCTGCCTCTGCCTCCCAAGTATTGGGATTAAAGGCATGTACCCTGAATTACCACCCAGCAAGTTGTGTTTTCTTAATACTAATATTTTGCTGGACATATATTTTTTCTTTTGTTTTGAGACAGGGTCTCATAAATCACACACTGGTGGTGAGCTCAGAGCAATCCTCCTGCCTTAGCCTCTTGAATGCTGGGATTACAAGTGTGAGCCATCAGCTTGGTTTTACTTTCACTCTCTTCAAGTAGCTGACTTGTTTTACCTCACTGAACCTAAGTTGGCAATCAGTAAACTTCAACAATCTTCCCGTCCCTGTCCTAGAAAGCACTGGGATTGCAGCTATGTGAGGAGACATACAGTTCTTTTCTTTTTTTTTCCTTCCATTTTAAGGTGGGACAATGTTTAGTTATAGTGAGGGGCACTTTTGTCACCTAGGCATGCGGATGGCCAAAATGTTTACAGAGGCAGACAGGATGCAGCCTCTCACAGGGGCAGGAATGACCTCAGTAGTCTGCAAGGGAATCTGGGAAGTGTGGTCTTTCAGAAGGAGGTTGGGCAGGGGTGTTTTCTGTTGAGGAGGCTCTTTCTTGAAAGGGATAGTTCTGGGTCTATTGAAGATGAGGTACTCTGGTCATGTAGCAGGGGGTGAGTCTTACCTTGACTAGCTGCAACAGATCAGGCAATTAGTGCCCTCTATTCCTGAAGAGTCTTGGAAAATAATTATTGGAGGGCTATAAACAAATGATTTGGTTACAGAATAAAAATTTTTCTGGGAAGGTTGAGAGAAGGGGAAATAGAAGCAGGAGGAATGGAGGAGGCTGGTGAGGAAGTGAGCACAGACTTGTCAGGGTAGTTGTCAGGGTGATAGTGACTGGTCCCACTGCCAGATGCTGCACACAGTGAGCCTGAAGAAGCAGCAGGGAGCTACAGAGCATCAGAGGAAGGGAACAGGAGAAAACAGAGGACTAGAGTACAGGATTCTATTTGGACTGGTGGAAGAGATGGTCCTTTTAGACAGCTTCTCTACAACATCAAAAAGGATTTTTCAAAGCTGTATTGGGAATACATGGGGCTGCTGTAGGGTGAGGGTCACTGGGAGAGCTTGTGTTTGGGTACAGGGCATATTGGCTCCTAAAAAACAAAGCAGAGCAAAGCAAAGCAAAGCAAAGCAAAAAGATTCGTTATTCATGTTAGTGTTTTTGCCTTAAGAACCATATCTCACTGTAGTCTGTCCTGCCGTAGGTCATCTTTTTATTTTTAAATTTAACTTTTAAAGCCCTACAAGGCATTTTTGTGTGTGTGCAGGCTCTTGTACCATGGTGGGTATGTGGAGACAGAAGACTGCATGTAGAATTTCGTTTCTTCTCCCACCATGTGGTGGAAGCCACCTCATGGGTCCTAGCATGCCTTTTCTTTAACCACCACCACCACCACCACCACCACCACCACCACCACCACCACCACCACCAAAGCTCACAAATTGTCTATTTTTATTTTCATATTCAAAATCCCTTTAAATTTCTCTTGAGATTTCTCCTCGCCCTATGTCTTATTTAAAAGAGCTAGGTGGATTCTCTACATCTTTTGGGACTTTTCACTTACCTTCCTACTGGTAATTTCTCTACTTTAGTTCCACTGTGGTGTGCTTAAGAACATATACTGCATGTTTCTAGCTTTAGGCATTTTCTTACATTTACTAATCTGTGTGTATATGTGTGCAAGCATGCACGTGTCATGGCATGAGTGCAGGTCAGTCCTCCTTCCACTGTGGGGTTCTTAGAGCTCAAACTCAGGCTGTCAGGCTTGGCAGTGAGCACCGTTACCTGCTGAACCATCTTGCTGGAGCATACCTAGTATTTAAATTTGTTAAGGTACGCTTGTAGCCCAACGTAATCCATCTTGGTGACTGTTCCATGGGAGCTTGGGAAGGAAGAATCATTCTGTATGAAGAGGATAATAACTTCCAGCTGAGACAGTATTGCTGAGTTTAACAATTCTCTCTGATTTTGCTGCCTGCTGGATCTGCCCATGACTGGGTTGATCTCTTCAACTCTATAAAGGCTCACTGACTTTCTTTATCGGTGTGTCCCCTCCTCATGTGGTATGTCCTATGCTATCAGTAGACATGGATGCACTAAGGACTGACCTACCTTTTGCCGATCATGATGCACCATACCCTTTTATCCTGATACTATTCCTAGTTGGTCGTCTGCCGTATGAAATTAATGCAGCTACTCTACACTCGTAATAGCATGGGATATAACTTGTAGAGTTCCATACACTGAGCAGCTTAAATGGAGATGTATTTTCCACTGTCTGGAGGCTAAAGAACAAGACTGAAGTGTTGGGAGAATTGTTCCGACTCTCAGGCCTCTTCCCCAGCCTGTGTTGTAGATGGACAACTCTACCTTTACAAGCATTACCTGTGTGTGCCTGATCTTGTCTTTTAGGGAAACCAGTCACATGGGATTAATACCTAGTCCCAATTAATTCAACTGATCCTAATCACCCTTTTAAAAGGCTCAGTCTTCAAATATAATCATATTCTAAAATATTGGAGATGTAATTTCAACACAGGAATTTCAGGAAGACAGATTTCAGCCTCTTTTTTTCCTGAGTGGTGGTGGTGTTAGTGAACCAACCTAGAGCCGTGTGCATGCTAGTATGCTCTTCCAATCCCAGCTGTTAGATTTCTGAGGCAAGGTCCTGCTATAAAGCCCAGGCTGGTCTCTAAACTCATGGTCCTCCTGTCTTAGACTACCAACTGCTAGGATTACAGGCATACATCACCGTATCAACTTTAACTTATTTATAAATGTCTTTACATCTACGATAGATTTATTCATCCACTTATTTCTTCGATGTGTTTCTGTGTATGTATGGCATATGTGTGCAGGTACCTGTGGAGGCCAGAAGGATCATCAAACGCCCCGGAAGTAGAGTTACAGGTAGTTTTGAGGTACTGGAAGTGATGTTAGAAATTGAAAAACTGAATGCAGGGCCTTTTGAAGAGCAGGAAATGCTCTTTAACTGCTGAGCCATCTTTCCAGCACCCCCCTCCCCATCCCCCTTTTGAGACTAGGTCTCATGTAGCCAAGGCTGGTCTTGAACTCCATGTGTAAATGATGATAATGACTTTGAAATTCTCCTCTTCTTGCCCCCGCCTTCTGAGTGACAGGAGCTATGTCTTGATTATATGGTGCTACAGAATGGTGAATCCAGTAGTTTGTACATATGAGGCAATCACTATGCCAACTGAGCTGTATCTGTAGGCCCTGAGGTAGGCTCTTACAGATAACACACAGCTAGTCTAGTCTTGTTTTTCACCCACTAGTAATCTCTTAATCTCAAGTAGAGAAAACCACACTGAAATTGTAGAAAATCCCTGACAAGAACAAAATCTTAAAGTAGCCACAGGAAAAGAACCCACTGTGCAGAGTAAAAAGGACAGTGACACCTTATCTAAGCAGAGACCACACAGGAGCAAATGGAAGACAGCACTGAAGCAATTAAAGAAGCTGTCGGCTTCTTTACCAGCAAAAACACCTTGCAGGAGTGAGGTAAACCAGACTTCTCCAGGCAACACTGGGCAGTACTTGTCACCAGTGTGCCTGCACAGGAAATGTTAAGAAAGTTCTTCCAGCAGAGGAAAATGACATTCCACGGTGAGAACTCTGTCTGGACAAATGAATGGAGAGCATTGGAAAGGACAAACCAACGAGTAAAAGTAATTTACTCAAAAACAAAGCCAGGCTGTGATGGTCTGAGTGAGAATGGCCCCCACAGGCTCACATATTTGAATCTTTGGTCATCAGGGAGTGGAACTGTTTAATAGATTTAGAAGGGTTAGGAGACGTGACCTTAGTGGAAGAGGTGTGTCACTGGGGGAGGGCTTTGAGGTTTCAAAAGCCCATGCCAGACATAGTCCCACTCTCTCTACCTTCCAATCAAGAAGCATAGCTCTCAACCTCTCCAGTTCCATGTCTGCCATGCCTGCCACCGTGACAATGGACTCAGCTTCTGACATTGTAAACAGGCTGGAATTAAATCCTTACTTTTTAAAGAGTTGCTGTGGTCATGGTGTCTCTCCACAGCAACAGATTTGCCTAAGACACAGGTGACTAATCCATGAAAGACTGTGTGCCTAAACAACCCAGTGTGATGGTCTTTATCTGTAATTCAAGCACCTCAGAAGTAGAGGCAGGAAGATCAGAAGTTTAAGATCACCATTAGATACATGACTGAGTAAGTGACACAGGAGACCAAGTTTGAGAAGAAAAAATAAGATACGTATAAAAAAGTACATACTAGGGCTGGAGAGATGGCTCAGTGGTTAAGAGCAGTGACTGCACTTCCAGAGGTCCTGAGTTCAAATCCCAGCAACCACATGGTGGCTCACAACCATCTGTAATGAGATCTGATGCCCTCTTCTGGTGTGTCTGAAGACAGCTACAGTGTATTCATATATAATAAATAAATAAATCTTTAAAAAAAAAAAAAGTACATACTATATGATTTATTTTCATAAAACTCTAGAAAATGTCAACTAACCAAGGTTATATAAAGCAGGCCAGGATTTTATCAGAGACTAGAGACAAGGTGGGCCCACATAAACATGAAAGGATTGCTATGTACATGGGGATAATCTATGGTTTTACTGGCATATAGACATCAAAAATTTTAAATGTATTATATTATCATTGTTGTTGTTATATTTTTTTTGAGATGTGTCTTACTCTATAGTCTAAGCTGGCTTGGAATTCAATGTCGACCAGGCTGACCTTGAACTCAGATCACCTTCCTCTGCCTCCCCATCACTAACTAGGATGCAACAGCAAGCTCTACCTCACCTGGCTCTGTATCAAACTGTTAGTTGAATATTCTTTTGTTGTTGCTATTATTTGTTTTGTATATAGTCTAGGCTGGTCTTGAACTCAAGATTCTCTTCCCTTAGGCTCCTGAGTTCTGAAGTTATAGGAAAGTTTATTTCTTTTTGAAGACAGGGTCTCTCTATAGCCCAGGCTAGCCAGAACCTCGCAGTCTTCTCACCTCACTTCTAATGTCTGGGACTACAGACATAAGACAAAACACTCAGCACATGAAGTGCACGTTTAACAAGACAGGCATGAAGAAATCAGGCAAAGCATGTGTGCTCTTCTAAGACTGCATCTATCTTTAACTGTCTGGAATGCATGGCAATTCTCCTGCCTCAGCCTCTGAATGCTGAGATTACATACATGTGTGTGCAACCATATCCAGCTTAAGAACGTACTTTAAATCCAAGAAAGGTAAAGTATCCCTTTTCACCAGAACTGAGACTTTCTCAATGTTGAATCAGAATTGAGAACATTGAACTTTTAATGTTTTATCTGAATTGTTCAAAACGATCTGTTTAGATCCACACACATCTAACTAAAGAAACTGTCAATCTGAGCTTTTGGCTAAGAATTCTATGTTTTTAAGCCTGTGGTGGATGCAGGCCGACAATCCTGATATCAGGGAACTGAAGGCAGAAGGACTGCAATTTTGACACAGCCAGGGCTGCACAATGAGGCCCTGTTACAAAGAATGGGAGGGTAACATTTCTCCTGTCTCACCTCTCTCAGATGTTCAGATACAGGGGAGAAGGAATGACAAAGAGGATTAAGGTGCTGGAGGCGTGGCCTACTGAATGGGATGCAGAACTAAGGAGCTGATGGGGGGGGGGGGGGGTGTCCAGGAGAGTCCCAGGGGACATTTTGCAAGTACAGGTGTTGAGGTCCTGGACAGGTTCCAATTTGAGTAATTATATTCTCTCCCCCAGTGCCTCCTGCTGCTTCTGGTGGATACAGAATTCTCATTCACTTCCTGGACTACGTGTGGGATGTGTGCAATGCAGCTGTGAAGCAGCTGCCACCGGCCTCCCCATACCCAGTCTCTAAAGCACTCTTGGATGAAAGGTACTATATAAATACAGTTTACTGTCATGCACGTATTGGTTGCCTTTCCACTTAGTAGGTTTTGTGAGAGTCTAACTATAAAATCCAGATCTATATTCTACAGCACATTAACATTTAATTTCTTCCTCTACCTGCTTGTCAGCCCCCTTTAACAACAAGACTCTTACCACAAGGGTCCGTAGACAAAGAGTCCCTGCAGGAGCACGCGGGTCCAAAGCAGCCATAAGATCCCACACTTTAATTTTTCTAAAGATCAAAAAGGGGACAAAAATCTTAGTAGAAAGCAAACTTAAGGGAACACAAAGAAGAACAGCAAAAAGCCAGGGCAGCAAATACAAAGTGTGGCTGTAGCTCACAGGAGTCAGATGACTGCTCTGTCTGGAGACGGGCTTCTCACTCTCTTACAATTATCCACTTTATATGCCTGGCCTGTTACTGTGAATTTGTCTGGTTCTTTGCTTTATAGGGCAAACCAGACAAATACATAATCAAATAGCAAAAATAATAATCAATACAAATACAATAAAATGACCCGGAAGAATATTTAGAAAACAGTAAGCAAAAGCGAGGCAAATAGCAATTAAGCAACAGTGTATATCAATTTGTAGAGCCAAGGAAGGCTTACATTTAACATCATAAACTGGGAGGAATGAAGACATAGGCTTGGGGAAGGCAGGTGCTAGCTACTGAATACAGGGCCTTGAACATGCTAAGCACACGCTCTGCCACTGAGCTGCAGCCCCAGCTCATCTTAGATGTGTTTCATAATATTGTTAGCAAACTCACCCATCATAGGCCCCACTCACTATCCTTTTGTTATCAAATCGAATACAGCGTACCAATTCCTCATGGCCTTCCAACACTCGCAAACATGCTCCACACTCTATGTCCCACAGCCTACAGGAGGAAATTGAGTCTGGTGAATTGTCATGTATGTCTCTGTCTCTCTCTCTCTCTCTCTCTCTCTCTCTCTCTCTCTCTCTCTCT